CATATTTTCAGCTCTGCTGCTGCTTTCATTAACTCCTTGTTGCATGCTCTGAGTATACCAGTTTTCCCAGGAWAAGGAAAGACAGCAGAGTTTTCCTGTGGTATTATTCCTTCATCTTTTATTGCTGTGCAAGTGGAGTCTGCCTTTGTTATGTGTGAACGCAAGTGTGAGGAATCAGCAACAAAATAAACAAACTGATTTCACGAAGGAGGAAAAGTATCTGAAAAAATGAGAGTTTTATTTTTCTCTGTCTGTCTTACCATTTATASTACTTTTGAGAATACATTTCCAAGTAAAGTTTTGCAGATAGAAACTAGTTTCCCAAGTTGTCTATGTCCTTTTTAACGTGACCTCCCCTTCTTCTTTCCATCTCTACTCCCATCCTGAAATGGGCCCATTCTCACAGGAAAAAAAAAGGTGAAACAAGCAAACAAACAAAAAATCAAGTACTGGTTTCAGATCAACAGTAGGGCTAGGGAAATCAGACTTAGAGGAAGCATGCAGTAATAGATGCAAGTAGATTAATGGTTGCATGGAAGGTTCTGCTTTTCTGTCCATACCGATTCTCGTAGCAAATATGCTTCAGGTTTATGTGACTGTTTTTAAACTGACAGCTTGTAATGCAAATTACTTCTCATCCAGCCTGGAGATGTTTCTGGCCTTGAGTGTATGTAGTAATTCAGGTCTGAATTTCAATAGGACTTACACCCGTGATACTTCTGTGTGTGACTTTCAACACTTCATCAGATTGTTCTGCATAAATCACCTAGTCTCTGTAGAAAGTGAGACAGTATAAACAARARCAATGAAGTTCAAATATTTTTAACATATCTATTATAAGTGGTATAGTGGTAGATGTAGTAACATGAGTTCAATTATTCAACTAATGATAGGGAAATAAAACAAAATCCACACAACCTTGCATATTGCCATGACAATTTCACTTTCTGCTAAAATAGGTCTACCTCCAAAATATTAAAAAGTACACTTATTACTTAGCAGTGTTTGTATCATAAGAATCGAAATTTGTGGTACACTTTGGAAATTTATTTATTTAAGCCTTTGATTAAAATAAAGAATATACAAATCGCTTTTACTGGAATATTACTGGAACTACTGAATAGCTATTAAATACGCTTAGTGAAAGTAAACAGGAAATGTTACATGCATACTTCCCACTGAGTTTCTAAAGAAATAACTTTTCTAAAATTTCTTCTTGGCTGGATTTACAAGTGCCTGTAGTGCTAGCCTTACAAAAAGGCCAAGAAGCCTTCAAAATTCTTTGACACAGTAGCAAATATTTCTAAATCCCATGGAAGACACAAAGAGTTACTAAGTAACAGTAGGACCAAAGATTAGGTGAATGTAAAGACAATCAAGGAAGTTCATGCGAGTTAAAAACAAAGATGTTGATACTCATTGTGGCTGAGAAGCTCCTAATCCACAAATTGCCGAGCTGGGAAAGTTGTTACACTCATGTGTTATGTTTGCCTTCCTTCTATGCCATTTCTGGCAACTGTAAACTGTAGGATAGCCAGTGAGCCCTCCTGGAGCTTACCATCCTTACCTCCTCCTCGGTAAGGATGTTCTCACGTAACCTAAAGCAACCTGACAGTGAAAATACATTTGMTATAAATTTGTTCACTGTGGATGTCTGAATGCTATAAATTTCATGTAAATTACTGCCCTTTGTCATTCTTGGGAAGCGAGAGGAAAGACATATCTATAGATAATAAACTCTTAGTTATGTTGTAGGCTAAACTGTACAAGATGGATTTTCTTTTGGAAGCCCTGAAGTCTCTGAGGCTGCTATTTTCTAAAACAAAGCACTTAGAGGACTAAAAGCAATTAGGCCTTATACAAGAAATACTGCCTATCACCGAGATAAGAACCATCATGAATGGACATACTCCATTCTGTAAGTTAAATGAATCCGAGGTGTGATACACTGTCCAAATGGATGTGTCATTATTCTGTAAGAAGTGTTATATMCCTTAAATGAATTGAAAAGTGAAATCACCTGGCACTGAATCAGAACATAACAGCAGTTTTTTAACATGTTGAAACAACTCTCACTGAAATGCTTGCACTTATCTCTCTCCTTTGATGTAAGTAATCCAACTACTGAAAGAGCAAATGTCAGTAATGTGGATTAAGGGACTGTTATTGAAAGGACATGATAGTCTCCTGAARCTGATTGCTTATTATTTAAAGAATATCTGTAATTCTGTAGGTATCCTCAAACTGAATTTGTCTCTTCATAGTCAAAGAAACTTGGAAAAATATTGCAGGATGAGAATCTCCTGAATAYATTCCCAAACACATGCTTCTCACACCACTATAAATGGCTACACCTGGATCATATGACAACAAGTTTCTCAGATGTAATGTACAGAGGATGTAATGGATTTTGAATGGGATGGCCAGAGAGTAGGGGGGAAAAAAAAAAAAAAAGGAACTAGGAAGAAATTTAATTTAAGGGTAATTCCCACATTTTTTCAATGAATTTGGGGGAAAAAAATAATGATTTAAACCAACCTTCCTTCCTCCTTCCCTTCCTTTCCTTTCCTTTCCTTTCCTTTCCTTTCCTTTCCTTTCCTTTCCTTTCCTTTCCTTTCCTTTCCTTTCCTTTCCTTTCCTTTCCTTTCCTNTTTCCTTTCCTTTCCTTTCCTTTCCTTTCCTTTCCTTTCCTTTCCTTTCCTTTCCTTTCCTTTCCTTTCCTTTCCTTTCCTTTCCTTTCCTTTCCCTTCCCTTCCCTTCCCTTCCCTTCCCTTCCTGGTTATTTAGAACATTTTCCATGCAGTTATTATGGTAAAGTCCTAATAAAAGAAAAAAAAAGCCTCACTGAAGTTAAAAGTTGTCATTCTAAAAAATGCTCAAATGAAATGTTTCAAGGCTGAAATATTTAATTTTGAACATGTCAAATGAAACAGGTTGACATTTACAAGATTCCATCTCTCCCCAAACTTTCCTCTCAAACTATGAGTGTGTGGTTGAATATATGTTCATCTTCTCTGAAGCTATTTTTTGCAAGAGAATCTCTCTTCAGGTATATTCTTTCTTACTGTATGCACTCTCAAGAGTCTAATATTTTGCTGCACTCTATGTGATCTTAATGAAGGAATATTTTAGAATTCACCTGCAATTTATCAAGAAAAGAGGCTAAATCTGCTAATTAACAGTTAGGGAGACCAAATATACAGCTTAAGCTGTTTCAGGGAGTTGGAAAGGATGATATCTTCATTTCTTCCCTAGCAAGGGCAAGAACACCCTTGCAGGTCTGAATAGGACCCTGAGACTGTTGTGATGCTGGTAGCACTTTCCGGGGAAGTGGTTGCTCTGCTGCTGCCCGCTGGCAAAAGGGCAGATCCGATGTGATGCCAGGCGTCCATTTGAGGCCTCTTCCCTTGTGAACTGAGGTCATGCATCAGAGCCACCGAAATGAAACAAATTTGAGAAGGTTTCTAAGGTGGAAAGTAGAGCTTTCATCTGGATGTAAACCTTGTTCAGTTAGAAATGTCATCGGAGATCTCAGCCAATTAGGAGGCAGGATGCCAAGGTTTCAGAAGATGCTGAGCTATAGAATCAAGGCTCACAGACCCTGCAAAGACTTAATTCTTTTACTTTGCCTCATCTGACATAATCTGCCAGGAAAAAAAAAAAAAAAAAATTAGCCTTTTAATCAATCTCATAGACCACTATAGCAGAAATGGCAGTAAAATTTGCTTTGCAGCAAGAAATGTAATAGCGAATTGTTGCTTTTGGGTAACTTCTTTCTTTACATTGATGGAGAGTACATGAATGTGGCATTTTGAATTAACACGCTGTAATTTTCTAAAGATTAGAAAAGAAGGACACAGGGCTCTTTCACATGCTGTGTTGTGAGGAGGGCTAAATGAGGCCATGCACACACTGTAACACTGACCCAGTGGGACAAAACCTTAAGACCAAAAAGGAAAAGCAGGAAAAGTAGCACTGTGACCAGAGGTGTTTTGCAACACAAATATCAAAATTTATCAGAACTCAGCATTGCTGACGAGTTGGTTATATTACCTGGCTATTGCTCCTATTCTACTTTTAACTTTTACTAGATGTTAGTGTTTGTAATTTGTGCCTACTTTATTAATTATTAGATGAATAGGATATTATGCAGTAGAGGGAATTRTGCATTAGAGAACAATCTAATCAAGTGGGATGGGCTTGCTCTTGTTTTCTAGCTGGTCTGTTATTATGGCTAGAGAGATGGGAGATTTGTTGCTCGACTTCTATTTGAAAAGGCAAGGCTCTAATAAAAAAAGAAATTAAATAGTGGGCATGAAAATTAATTATGACTGTTAAGTGCTAATTGATAAAACAGGACTTTCAGAAGCTATTTCAGCTTTAGAGATGAGGCGATGCCTCATTAATACAACAGCCTTTAGAGATAGTATGAGGCATAATCACTTTAAAAATCTCATGATGATTAAAAATTTGCTTTTCTGCACTGTACTGAGCTCATTTTAGAAATACAGTAGCTCATATCATATTATAGCTGTTGTSACTTTAAAAATAATCTGTGCTTTCATTTGTTTACATCTTACTCCATAGGTTTTGTTTAAACATGCTCTTAGTTTGCAGGGCTTATTCAGAGCATATGTAAAGCAGTATACTTCTGTTTGTACACCTTAAGTTGCTACAATTACTTGCAACATTGAAGAGATCTGCTTCTGRTAGAACCAATCAGAATTTGTCTCTGTTGGGAAAAAACATTATGAAACATAGTTTTGTCAGAATTAAGCTTTTATTTTGTGTGCCCTAAAAATCTCCAGTTGAGTTGTATCACCAGACCAGGAAAGGAACAAATTAGAAGTCTAGATATTCCAAATAGACATAAATACATGAAAAAAAAAATATTTTACAGCATCTTTTTTTTTTTTTTTTTTTTTTTTTTTACAAAATGCAATATATGTGTTTTAATTTCTAGATGGCTATCCTAAAGAGGAAATGATTTACAGATGGAGAAAAAATTCAGTTGAGGCTGCTGACCAGAAATCTTGGAGACTGTATCAGTTTGACTTCATGGGTCTTAGAAACACTTCAGAAACTGTGAAGACCTCGGCAGGTAAGAATTGCATAAATGGCTTTGCTTCATTTGAAATACTAAGCATTTCAAAACGTATACTCTAGATTTACTTTCATTTAAGTTTGGTTTGAATGCAAAATATACCCCTATTCATGTAAAAACAGTTGAAGTGAAGACTTGAAAACTATAGACTTGGTCTGGAATTTGGGAAAAATTTCTTTTTCTTTCTTTCTCTATCTGCTCTCTTTGTAGTTCAACAAAATGAGAAGTGGACATAGTTGTTTGTAATATACTGAAAGTTGCTTCAAGATTCTTGTTCCTCAGATAATTGAATAAAGCCATCCCTCTTTTAGACTTATATTTTATTCATAATTGAAAAGAAAGATTTGAGCTGCAACAATTACTGTTGCCTTACCCAGAGCATACTTTTTGGGCTAATGAAGCTGGACTCTTTGATGAACAGTTAATCATTCAGCCACAGTCTTAAGTTTATGTTTTTGTTTTAACATTTTAAAGGCACAATCWTCTTACAAATGTGTTTGCTAGTGACTTTACCAGCTGATTGTAATTAGAATATAATGATATCTATTTTATTTCTTTAGAAGACACATTCTTTCCTGTAATAACAGCAACATAGGGAATAGATGTATAAAAAACATTGATTACTTAAGCTGAAAAATTACATTTTATGTGGTATAAAAAGTGAAGCACTCAATAGATAAATTCTAATAAAAATCAAAGAATAGCTAAATATTATATTCGAATCTGAAGTATAAGTCCGTGATTATTCTGTCTCTGAGGTAAACTCTATGATTATCATTTGATAAGTCTTTTCCTGRCCAGCGTATTAGAAGCAATCTACTGCTTTTACATTTACTGGTGGTGGATTCTTGATTTTTTAAAATGTATGTACACATATGTTATTCTTTCATTACAATAAAAAAATAAAATGAATTTAAAAATGAATTTACTAATCTCTGAAATTGYTGCTGCTGGATCATGGCCTGTGCATTATATCTGTAGTGTAATATCAGGACTTGATGGCAACTACATTTAATTAAATGCCACTAAAGCTTTAGTGAATCTTTGGGGTGCATAGTTGATCAGAGGAAAATACTGCAAACAGCACATGGAAAAGTTCTCTTCTCTTATGGATGCAAGTCACTGTAGTCTGTAAGTTTCTCAGGAATGCAGTTTTCTAAGGAGTGTTTATAAAAATTGTTCAGCTGAGTTATCCATATGTTGAACTAGGAGATGGTGGATAAAAGTATTAAATACCAAATCAGTCAAGTATGTGCRTGTGCAGGCATAGCATATTAGGAAGGGGGACATGAATAAGAGAGAAAGTCCCGCTCTTCCTCCTGTCTTGAGTTTTCTTGAGTTTTGAGTCTTGAGTTTTCATCAAAAACTGCTAAATACACATACAAGAAGAATTATATGGTCAGCCGTACTAAGATGCTCATAATGTCCTTGTAAAATACATCTATTAACCTCATTTGCATAGAACAAAACCACCTTTATAGAGGACTTGTTTGAGTTGGCAAATAATATAGAACAGGCAGAGAAAATATTTCCTATGCCCTTTTTGCTGTGTGCCAAGTTCCAATTAAGATGAGTGAGCTGAGAGTATGCTTTTCGTCCTACTGCCATTGCTGCTTCTATTCACCCAAGTTTGTGAGTSCAAAACCCAAATGCATCATTAAACTATGTCTACTGGAGTCAGCAAGTTATTTATATTCTCCTACGGGCATCTCAGTAGCAGACAGTTGCTGGCAAAATGGAATTTATTCAAATAATGAATAATAAAGTTATCAGGAGGCTGTGAAAACTACTTTGGAAGAAATTATATGAAATACATAGGTCAGACACTCACTTGTGTTATTATGCAAAAAAATGAGCTTCACATATGGCACCTTTATTCTGGCCAGTAGATGGCTGAGAAGGGACTCTCTGTAAGTCAGCAAATATATTAAAGGTGTCAAAAATAAAACCCTGAGTTTTGACATGAATCTGAATTTGTATAGAATAGACCCTCTGGCTATATATGCATAATATTTTAAGGTACTTTCAAGGCCAAGTATACTGAACAACATTACTGTCAAGAGCAAGTCTAGAGACAGGGCAAAGGAAGACCTGCAAGTACGTTGAAAATTGTTAAATATGCTCTATACTGTAGAGCAGAGATCCAGAAATGGAGGGAATGAGCAAAGATCATTCTGCAGCATCCTGCTGTAAGTGCACAGGTATGTACATACAGGCAGGATAAAAGGGCAGCCATGCTGTGGCATATGGCAAACTATTAGAAGAAATGTAACACTATCGAAAAAGTTTGAGAATTTCTACCTTTGGGTGAATCCAAGGTTGTTACTTCCCACATTGAGGACCAGGTTTGATAAAGGCAAACTGCATCTCTTACCTGCACATGTTACATCTCCTTTGCCAAAGAGCTAAAGGCAGTCAAAAACAAGGTGCCAGGTTCTGTCATGGCAAGTCTGTGGCATATTTGCTCAAAAATCACAAGGACAGGAAGAGTGTCCCTAAGATGCTATGGATATGAGTATGGGCAGCCAGTGCAACCATGCTCCCTTCAGGCTGCTTTCCAAAGTGGCCACTGGCCAGGACCTAGCCCTGAGCTAGGTGTGGAGCCTCTCCAAGCCACCTGGGAGCCCATAAAGGTCCACCATCCTTGATCCTTTTGCATACTCCAAATGGAAAGAAAGAAGAACATCATTTGGAGTGCTGCACAGGGAATAATTTAGAGTAATGAGATGAAGTAAAGCAAAGCAAAGCAGGCTGACTATCAACAGAAGCTTCCTGAGAAGACAGAAGAGACCTATCATCTGTTCCTCCCAAGGGAAATTATGGAAACTACCATTATATGGGGTATTTAAAAGTAGGCTAGACAATGTATGAGAAAATGTACTGGAGGGAACAGTCTTGTTCTAGCAGGAGATGGATTCAATAACCCAATGTCTTTTTTACTTCTAATATATACATTACTTCTGGTATATGACATTACTACCTTTCATTAAAGTGTGTGTTCGTCTGTAAAATAAGAGCTACCACAGTGTTACTTGCCTGTGTCTTATTCAAATTCCCATTTTTAGCTCCTTTTCAGCAGAATTTCAGTTAAAATGAAGACAGTTCACACTGACTACACAGTAACATGCTTCTATTCTTCCTGTATGTGCACAAGCCATTTCTTGGCAGTTATTTTCACTGGAAATGACCAGATTATGTATACAGCTGAGTTCTGCTCATTGATTATTTCAGTCTTTCCAGTCTTTCTTTCAGCCTTACTTTTTCAATCTTTCTTTTTCTTCTTTCTTTTTAGTATCTAACTAACTCTTATTTAAGAGTTGTAAGTTCAAAGGTATGCAAGTAGGAAAGTAACTGTCACAAAGACTATATTTTTGAATCTATGCAATGTAAGAACACCTCCTTTATTTAAGTAGTGGCTTGTTCTCACAATAAGGCTAACCTTCTGCCAATCTAGAAGTTAAATAGAGGATTTTTTAGCAATCAGGAGGAGATAAACAACTTTTCCTTTGAAATACTTTTTTATATTTTATGCTAAGATACAAACATAACCAGATAAATATCTGTATCGGGTAAGAACCCGAGATGCACAGCAGAGATTGCTGTGTTGGTTCTGTGGTCATACACTTTTGTCGGGACTATAGCCTGAGTAAGGTCACACTCTTAGATTATATTCTAATCTAATAGTGTAACTAATTCACAAGAAGAAATGACATATTGCCATCTAGCAAGGTGGTAGGTACTATTTTTCTTGCTATAATGACAAGTCTGAAAAAGATAATTAAAATAAAGGGAATGTTAGTAAGGTGACTAAGCTGTGAAAAATGGAGAAACTGCATATTCTGAAAATATTCACAAATCTGAAATTTTAAAATTATAAATAAGCCCAGAGAAGGATGATGAGGAACAGGGGAAAGGGGGAGAGAGAAGATCACACTTAAAAGTACTCTGTATTTTTGCAGTAAAGTTCAGGTTTCTGAATCCTACTCTTTCCAAATACAGCTGACCAAAGAAAAGCATAATTATGAAGAGATCCATGAGTAAAGCTCATGGAGAAAGCTGTAGTGTTGCTTAGCACTTTCCTGCTAACATATGCTCCAGGAAATCTTATTCATTCTTTTTAAAAGCGCTCTACTTTTAACACTGCTAGCTAAACACAACGACCTTGTAGCTACTGAATTTAATTTTCTTTTACTCAAAAACATCTTCACCTCACACAAGCTCTATTTATATGCTTCTTCAGATGCCTTTATCCAGAGATATTTGTGCTGTCCAAAGAATCCTTTGCATAAATCAGTTCAAGCTAATTCATTAGAAATACAAAACCCCATAAAAATGCCCTACTTAAAATCTTTAATAAGTGATAATTAAAAATGAAAGGTGCATAAATATACAGAGCAAGTACCATTTTACACATCCTGAATAGCCCCCTAAGTATCAATACCCATTCCCAATAAATAGGGAAATTGCTGACTTAAAACGTATACTTTTTTTGTACATTGGATGGCTGATGATTAGCAGTGTGCCTGCCATGCAGCTTCCAAATGCTGCTTTATGTTTTGAAAACTCTATCTCAGCAAATGCCTCAGCTGTCAGCCTGATAGCACAGGGCAGCAAAGGAAGGTYGATATCTGTTGTTACTGATTCAGATCAAAGCTCTTTGGGACAACATATAGTCTGATGCTAGTAACAACACCACTGTAGAAACAAGGAAGCAAGTGGCCATATGGAGAATGTGTATTTTAGGAATATACCAAGACCTGCATAAATAAGTTTGGGTAGGAAAAGGGAGGAATAGACATGTTTTTTTGAGGAGATCTTGTTTCTCTGCAGGAACCCTCAAGGACAAGGGATAGCTCAGAGGGAGGCAGATATTAAGTGAGCTCTCTAACAAGACTAATACCCTCCCTGGGATTTATCCATGGTACTAAAGAAACTGAGGAAAAAGTTTTCAGCTATCAAGCTTTTGTGCAAAGAGATCAAAGAATAGCAGTGTTTAG